CTTAGAGTTGCCTCTAAAACCCCTAACGATGCTACTACACCACCCCCCCCCCCCTGTGAAGGCATATAAAAAGTCCCTAACACTACCACTACTCAATGCAGCCAAGTCCCTTATCCCTGTTATCTGGAAGCAGAAGGGAGCACCCACCCTCCAGCAATGGGTGACAAAGGTGGAAGAAATACACTCGATGGAAACTTTAAGGGCAGTTCTCCATGGGAGACAGGAGCAGTGTGCATTGACCTGGTATCCATGGGCTACTTACCTAGCCAAAAGATTAGCGTCCTCGAACACAACACCACAGGGGCCCTCTGAAGCCCGGAGCACACATATCTAAACACCCCACCTAACCCTTACCCCCTGTGTCGATTTCCCCCACCCCTCCCAACCTTCAGACTGGACCTCGGACTGCCCCCTGACGACCGACACAGACAGTAGAGGGAATACCTATTGGACAGACCCTCAGTAGGGACACGTCCCATCTTTGGATAGGACGGAAAGCTCTCATCAGTTGGATAAAACTAGACAGAAACTCGCTACCCACACTTACAACACTGAAATAAGACAGCGCACCAGCATGAGAGTCGTAAGCCCAGACCCCAGCTTAAACAGAAGCTAGAGAGAAATAGCGGCAACACGGAATAGCCCCTGGGATGGAAACCTGATGACCTGAAACAAACGCATAGTCTCCCACACCAGCAACCCACCGCTCTGTGGTACTGACAGACGCCCGGACATATCCCCGGGACCGACAAGCCCAGCCTACTTATTGACTGCCAGCAATAGGTACCCGAAGAACCTAGCCCGTAGGCCCCACAATGGTGAACTATCTGGGAAAAAGCCAAATGATCACGAACGGTGGAGCATAGACTCCCAAGAAGCACACTATGACTGTAGATCGCATACCGCAACCACCACAGTAGTACACCCGATCTTGATATTACAAGGGCACATAAAAAGAAAAAACAAGTTCGTGGCAACAACTAACACACAAGTGGAGAACCAACGCACAGAGTCACCTACCACAGTAGACTAGGGTGCAACCGGGAAAACATGGTGGGGAGACGACCAAAAAAAAAAAACTCCAATACTGAGGTCAGGTTATACCCTTCCTAGCTGCCTGACTAGGCTGCAGCCGCAGGCCTGAACACAGGCTGGTACAATAGATAGAGCCAACTGTTAGAAATGCATGGGTTAGCAGCACAGTTCCCCTTTCCCCCCTTCTTTGCATTATTCAGATGTTGACACTGATACAGATACAATGTAAAGTTATTGACTGTTACTGGTTTCTTCAAATGAAAAAGATACTAATTAAAGATTGTCAAAAAAAACTCACCTTATTTTCAGCTCTCTACAGGTCTGCCGGTGCTGGCCCCGCCCCCTTGGTGACATCAGAATTGTGGGGAAAGCATTCGATTGGCTAAAATCATCAAGGGGCGGGGCCAAACACCATTCTGGCCAGTCAGCACCTCCTTCTAGAGATGCATTGAATCAATGCATCTCTATGAGGAAAATTCAGCTTGCCCATGCAGAGCGTGGGGATGCTGAACGGCACTGCTGCCTACTGTGCAGCACTGCCCCAGGATGCACCTCCAGTGGCAATGCAAACACTGCCTTTTCTAAAAATGCCTGAAGGCAATGATTATACTCACCAGAACAACTACATTAAGCTGTAGTTGTATTGGTGACTATAGTGTCCCTTTAACCAGCAAAATAAGACCTGTCCTTCCATGGCTTTAGCAGAAAACATTATGACTCCTATACTAACACCTTTACACCTTAAACGCTCTCAAGACAACCTGCTAAGATTGAAAGCCACTTCATACCACAGTGGGAAAGCAAACAAATATTTAGCTAACCGGCTTAGGGATAAATTAGCGGCCTCCAGTATATCATATTTGATAGACGAAAATGGCAACAAACAACTGGGTCCCCAAAACATCATCAAAGAGTTTGCACAATTCTATGCCAAACTGTATAACTTGCAAACAAACCGCAATACCACACCCCATCCCCTCGAGAAATACGATCCTACCTAGATGGTATTCCATAGACTCACGCCCAAACAATCCCAATCCTTACTTAGACCGTTCTCATTAGAAGAAATTAAAGAAACCATAAAACATTTACCATCTGGCAAATCCCCAGGTGCAGATGGCCTAACTAATTTATACTATAAAACCTTTGTTGACGCTCTGGCCCCGAAACTCCTTAGAATGTATCAGCTAACGACGGAGACTGACACCCTCCCCAACAATATGCAGATGGCCATGATAGTCATCATACCAAAACCAAACCCACAGACTCCTGCAAGAATTTTAGACCTATTTCCCTCCTTAATACTGATGCCAAAATTTATGCTAAGATGCTCGCCAACAGACTGATGCCCCTCTTCCCTTATCTTATACGTGACGACCAGACGGGGTTTGTGACAGGACGGCAGGGATTAGAGAATACTAGGAAGCTTGCAGTAGTGCTTGACAAGCTTTGGAGCCCCAGTCGGGTTGGACTGTTGTTGGCTGTGTTCTATGTCTATGTGTTCTATGAGCTACACAGCACAGAGACACATAGGGACATTGGGAGACACATTGGGACATGGAGACACTAATGTCCCTAGTGTCTCAATGTCCCCTAATCTCCCAGTGTCTGTGTCCCCGTGTCTCTCAGTGTCCCTAGTGTCTCAGTGTCCCCATGTCTCCCAGTGATCCCAAATATCTGTCTCCCAGTATCCACATGTCTCCCAGCCAGTGCCCCTAGTGTCTCAGTGTCCCCATGTCTCCCAGTGTCCCTATGTCTCCCAGCCAGTGTCCCCAAATTTTTCAGTGTCCCCATGTCTCCCAGCCAATGACCCTTGTGTCTCAGTGTCCCCACGGCTCCCAGTGTCCCTAGTCTCCCTAGTGTCTCAGTGTCCCCATGTCTCCCAGTGTCCCCAAATATCTGTCTCCCAGTGTCCAAGTGTCTCCCAGCCAGTGTCCCTAGTGTCTCACTGTCCCCATGACTCCAAGCCAGTGTCTCTAGTGTCTCAGTGTCCCCATGTCACCCAGTGTCCCTAAATGTTTCAGTGTCCTCATGTCTCCCAGTGTCCCCATGTCTCCCAGCCAGTGTCTCTAGTGTCTCAGTGTCCCCATGTCACCCAGTGTCCCTAAATGTTTCAGTGTCCTCATGTCTCCCAGTGTCCTCATGCCTCCCAGCCAGTGTCCCTAGTGTCTCAGTGTCCCCATGTCTCCCAATGACCCCTAGTCTCCCAGTGTCTGTGTCCCCATGTCTCCCAGTCTATGTGTCCCCATGTCTCCCAGTATCTCCATGTCTCCCAGTGTCCCAATGTCTGTATCTACAAGTGCCCCCATGTCTCCCAGTGTCCCCAAGTGTCTCAGTGCCCCTGGTGTCTTAGTGTCCCCATGTCTCACTGTGTCCACGTGTCTCTCAGTGTCCCCTAGTATCCTAGTGACACGGGAAACACTGAGACATGGGGACACTGGTGAGAATTATGCTGACTATTTATTTACATCAATTATTTAGGTAAATGAGAAAAATATAATTTGCATAATAATTTGGAACAAGGTGTAATGTGAGTGTGGTAATGCATACATGGTTGGCAATACTGATATCCTATAGAAATAGTGAAAGAGGAACTACCAAGTCTGAAAGTGAGATTACCTCTATTATTCAACCCTACAAATGTTCTTGCCTAGGTTGAGGAGCATAGTGGAGAGAAATATTAAACACACTTCTGGGTGATGCCATTGTCCCATGATTCTCTGGGTTCATTCTCCTGCTCTGCATGGAAAATGTATGTGTGCATGACACCACGGGGGTAAATTAATTACCATTGTAAGATATGGGTGTAATAAAGAAAATCAAACATACCTAATGCTATAGGGTTATACATTTACTAGTAGCCATGCTACTAGTTTTCCTGGTGTGTTTTTTTTTTTTTTTATAAGTTTATTCGGATTTTCAAAATAAGAGAATGGGGGAGGAGCGTATAGGTGGCCGCATTTCAGTTTCATACATAAATGTTGTTCACATCACAATGCAGTATTAAATAGTGATTAAACATACAATCTTTTATGGGTTGACGTACAATATTCATTGACATAAAACTGCAAGCAGGTAAACACAGCTTTTGGTGCATGTACAGAGACCTTTCAATCATAAGACGAGTTTGATTTGGTCCATACATAGTGGGGTTATTTACCCAATCTCTAATACTGTCCCATAGTTGCCATGAGTCAAGGTGAATTTTATTGGGGGAGAATATGGGGCTATGGTTCCGTTCAAACAAGCGTTGTGTATCAATTTCAGACAGTACCTCTGTAACAGAGGGAGCAGCGTTTGATTTCCAGGTTCTTGCTATTATTCTTTGCGCGATCATCAATTTCATCTTGCACTTTGGTATGGTGGTTGGCAAATCCAGCAGAAGGTATGTTTGAGGTGAGAAAGGGAGTGTGCACTTCACTAACTGTGTGGTTTTGGTGTGTATGGCATTCCGAAAGGTTAGGAGGACTCTACACAGCCACCACACATGTAGCGCAGATACCACTTCCAATTCACATCTCCAGCACAGTGAGGAGGAATTGGGGTATAATTTGTGTATGCGGCTGGGTACAGGGCCAGATTAAGAGCTATTAAGAGTACACAGTATTAACTATTAAGAGTACAATTCAAATTTTATTGAACAAACCTAATGATAACAGTATTTTATTTTTAAAACATAAAAAACTTACAATGCACTGTTCCAAATTTTTACGCACAGTAAGTTTCAAAACACTTTATAGGTTGTAAAGAACTGAAAATTTTCATTTGTTGTGTTTGCAGCATATTTACTGAAATCAAGAGCTATTTCAATCAAACTTATAACAACATTTTACCTTTTTAAACATTTTAACAGGTCACGTTACATTTTAACATAGGACCTCTTATTTGATAGCAGCTTCACGAGTCTTGCATCCATTGAACTTGTGAGTTTTTGGACAGTTTCTGCTTGAATTTGTTGTGATGTCAGAATAGCCTCCCAGAGCTGCTGTTTGGACGTCCACCAACCATCCACTACTCCATTCATCTGGACCATCCAGGGTTGCACGGCCCTCATCAGTGAACAGTAGTCATGTGCAATTCGTTTCAATCCTAATTAAAATTCGGCCGAATTTCGAGTAATTCGGGTGCTTCCGAATGTCTGAATAGATGAATTGTCAAAGTGCTGAAATTACCGAATTTCTGAAGTGTAGTAGTGCCGAAGTTCCGAAGCACAGTATTGCCTAAGTACTAATATACTTATCCAGTGAAAGAAGAAGAATGTTACACTGTATACAATTTAAAATAAAAAGTATACAAACATAGCCAGGATTCAGCTGTAAGCATTTGCAACACTTACATTTTATTTGAATGTGTGTTACTTGATTGTTGTAAGTTAGCCAGTCATGTAATGACAAGAATGAATAAGTAGATACCCCCTAATTCCCACGGTATTAGAGAGTTATCTACTAAAAGGCTGAAAGACCTGAATTGGTCTTTCAGCCAAATTTACTAAGTAAATTTGTAAATTATGCCCCTACTCGCTATATCGCGAGTAGGGGCATGTCTATTAAACAGTGAGCAGCCTGTAAGTAACCAATCAGAGAGTTATGAGTCAAATTACACAGCGTGGGAAAATTCCAAAGAGCACACTGATTGGTGGATTTCAAACCAACCAATCAGAGTGCTGTGACAGGTAAATGTAGAGACTTACCTGTCAGTCTCTTCATTTACCTGTTAGAGCACTCTGATTGGATGACTTAAACCCACCAATCAGAGTGCTCTGACCCTAATTGCAGGGCTGGGCAAGGCTTCATAAGCCTTGCCCTGCCCTGCAGAGCTCAGTCTGCGCAGAGCCCTCCATGGGTGAAAATTGATTATTTTTTTTTTGCGCTCGTTTTTTTTTTTTATTATTATTTGTTTCGGTTATTATGGATTTTTATGTGGCCTTTTTGGGGGCTGAAAAAAGAAGACAGAAAACATTTAATGGTAAGTTTATTTTTATAGGTACTTAGTTAAAGATCCCCCCTCATTATTTTTAGGGTGAGGGGGGTAGGTAGGGGTTTATTTTTTGGGGGAGGGGGTGACTAGGGGTTTGGGGCCAGGGGGGAGGACAATAGGTCCCCCCCAATTTGTATTTAGGGCCCCCACCTGCCGCTCAGGGGTGGGGACAATAGGTCCCCCCCAATTTGTATTTAGGGCCCCCACCTGGCTCAGGGGTGGGGACCAGGGGGGAGGACAATAGGTCCCCCCCAATTTGTATTTAGGGCCCCCACCCGCTGCTCAGGGGTGGGGGCCAGAGGGGAGGACAATAGGCCCCCCCCAATTTGTATTTAGGGCCCCCACCCGCCACTCAGTGGTGGGGGCCAGGGGGGAGGGCAATAGGTCCCCCCCTTATTCTTGTTAAGGGCCCCCACCCACCACTCAGGGGTGGGGGCAAGACATTAGGTCCCTCCCCAATTTTTATTTAGGGCCCCCACCCGCCGCTCAGGGGTGGGGGCCAGTGGGGAGGACAATAGGTCCTCCTCCCTTTTTTTACTTTAGGGCCCTCACCCGCCGCTCAGGGAGGGGGGACCCTTTTTTTTTTTACAGTGAGCAGCCACTGGCTGCTCACTGTTTACTAGACATGCCCCTACTTGCGGTATAGCGAGTAGGGGCATAATTTACTAATACTAAGTAATTTTTACTTAGTATTAGTAAATTTGGCTGAAAGACCAATTTAGGTCTTTCAGCCTTTTGGTAGATAGCTCCCTAATACCGTGGGAATTAGAGAGTTATCTACCAAGTGGCTGCAAGAAAAGTCCCGAAATGCCGAAGTTCCGAATTGACGAAGTCCCGAATTGCTGAATGCCGAACCGAGCCGAATATTTTCCCAATGCACATGCCTAGTGAACAGGACTGTTTAAAAATTAGTTTTCATGTATTTTTCTGCCCAATGCAGCCGTTTCTGCTTGTGAGCATTGGTTAGTGGTGGCCGAATAGAAGGTTTATGCACAGTTGCAAGACTCTGGAGGACCCTACACCTTGATGTCCGTGGGACTCCAGAGGCACCAGCAGCTTCAAATATCTGTTTGTTGCTATGTAATGGTATTTTAGCAGCTGCTCTCTTGATCCGATGCATGGATCTGGCAGAAATCTTCCTCAATTTGCCTTTATCTGCACGAACCCGTCTGTGCTCTGAATTAGCCACAAATCTCTTAATAGTGCGGTGATCACGCTTAAGCTTTCCTGAAATATCTAATGATTTCATACCTCATCCAAGGCATTGAACTATTTCACTCTTTTCGACAGCAGAAAGATTCTTTTTCTTCCCCATATTGCATAAAAATGGTGCTCTGCTTAATAATGTGGAACACCCTCCTTTAGTAGTTTTTCCTTAAATTGGGCTCACCTGGCAATCTAATTATCACATGTATCAGAGATTGTTTTCAGTGATCAAAAGAGCCCTGAGACACAATGCCATCCATGAGTTAAACTGAAAAACAAAATATGTAATCTTTGTGACACAAATAGAATTTGCATAATAATTTGGAACAGGGTGTAGTAACTTTTTTTTCTTTTACACAGGCCAACATTAAAGGACCACTATAGTGCCAGGCAGGGCCGGTGCAAGGATTTTTGCCGCCCTAGGCAAAAGTAAAGTTTGCCACCCCCCCCCCCCCATATGACATCACAATGCCCCATGTTAACTAACGCAAGTGCTGCCGTGTTTACATTAAAAGGCCTGCAGGGACAGGCTATAGACACCAGAACCACTACATTAAGCTGCAGTGGTTCTGGGGACTAAAGTGTCCCTTTAATGTGGGGTAAATTAGAGATTAGTGCCACGAATAATATGTTAGATTGCCTACTTACAATCAGATGAGGATGGTGATGGGCTCTAGCTGCAGTCTGGCTCCACTTGTCTGGTGTAGAACAGGCTCTCTGGAGGCTGTTTGTGTTCTGGGAGAACGGGAAGCAGCTCCATTTTTTTTAAGGCCCTTTACACAGCTCAAGGTCTGGGCCCCAGGGTCCACCTTCATGTTCCACCAATTAGTTTGTTCACAGGAGTAGGGGATGTCCTGATATGTGTGTAGGGAATGCATTGTGTGAATCTGTGTGTGTAAGGGATGCATTGTGTGTAAGGGTTGAATTGCTTGTGTGTGTGTGTGTCTGTGTGTGTAATGCATTGTGCGTTTTTCTGTGTGCAAGGGGTGCATTGTGTGTGTGTGTGATGGATGTCAATCTCTCCCCCCTCCCTTGTCCCTCTCTTCTCCCCCTCTCCCTCCCTCGTCACTCTCTTCTCTCCCCCCCTTGTCCCTCTCTTCTCCCCCCTCTTGTCCCTCTCTTCTCCCCCCTCTTGTCCCTCTCTTCTTCCCCCTCCCTTGTCACTCTCTTCTCCCCTGCGTGTCCCTCTCTTCTCCCCCTCCCTTGTCACTCTCGTCTCCCCCGTTGTAACTCTCTTCTCCCCTCCCCACTCTCATTCCCCCTCCTAACCCCGTCAATTCCCCTCCCTGTCAATTTCTCCCCCCCACCTTGTCAATTTATTCCCCCCACCCTGCCTGTCCATTTATCCCCCCACCCTGCCTATCCATTTATCCCCCCCCCACTGTCCATTTATTCCCCCCCCCCGTCCATTTATTCCCCCCCACCCTCCCTACCTCTATTGTACCGTGGCCGAGCCCCCTATTGGTCCGCGGGTACAGGTTGCTTTTGTTTCCTGTACCCGGCCGGACTAAAAGGAAGTGAACACTCAGTGTTCACTTCCTGTTAGTCCGGCCGGGTACAGGAGACAGATGCTCCCTGTACCGGTCGGACCAATAGAGGGCTCGGCCACGCTACAGGGAGGGAGTGACAGGAGGGAGCACTGAGCGCGTCCCTCCTGTCAGCCCCTCTCCTCAGGCTGCGCCCGGGCGGTGCAGTCCGCCCTCATGGACGCACCGCCCGGGCAAAGCTGCAGCCGCCTGAGGCTCTCTACAGAGCACTCGGGCGGCTGCAGCATTAGGGGGGCCGGCGCTCCTGGCGGCGCCCCTTCCCAAGGGGCGCCCTAGGCGGCTGCCTAGTCCGCCTTACAGGTAGCGCCGGCCCTGGTGCCAGGAAACCTACTCGTTTTCCTGGCACTATAGTGCCCTGAGGGTGCCCCCACCCTCAGGGACCCCCTCCTGCCAGGCTGGATGGCGAGGAAAGGGGTTAAACTTACCTTTATTCCAGCGCCGGGCGGGGAGCTCTCCGCCTCCGATCCTCCTCCTGGGCAGAATGCGCATGCGCAGCCAGAGCTGCGCGCGCATTCAGTCGGTCTCATAGGAAAGCATTCATAATGCTTTCCTATGGACACTTGCGTCTTCTCACTGTGATTTTCACAGTGAGAAGCACGCAAACGTCTCTAGCGGCTGTCAATGAGACAGCCACTAGAGGATTTTTAGGCAGGATTAACCCATTTATAAACATAGTTTCTGTGAAACTGCTATGTTTATAAAAAAAAAAAAAAAAAAAGGGGTTAATCCTAGAGGGACCTGGCACCCAGACCACTTCATTAAGCTGAAGTGGTCTGGGTGCCTAGAGTGGTCCTTTAAACAGCTCCAGCTAAGAAAATAAACAACCTTCCAATGCTTCTTACGTTCAAAGAGGAAAATTCAGGTTTACATTTAAAAGGTATAATATTTTATTTTTCTTCTGAATTATTTACAAATAATCTACTATAATTAGGCCTCAAATATATTTTTAAGTGCATTTATACAATATGGTAACATATGGCAATAAGTAACTAAAATGGTCTAACAAACATATGGTTACAACTTTTACATTATTTAATGGGTGGCATAATGCCCCGTATTGGTCTAATATTTAATCACTAACAAATACCACATGAGAACACTTTTTTTTTTTGCACACATTCGTTTTAGTGGACACCTAAAGTGTAAATATTTAAGATGTGGCAATTCCAATACTGTCATCTTCAGAAAAGTAATGCAATTGTTGATATTCTCTAATTACACTCTCACCAGCATGTGGATCCAGGAGGCAAGCCATATAATTAGTGTGCTGCTCACAGCAATCTATGTGTTTGCTGGCTGGGAGTATAATTATAGTTAAATTATAGTTGTAACCATATGTTTGTTAGACCATTATAGTTAAATTTATAGTTAAATCCCCTTTCATAATATTGTAAAGTGCTACGGAATCTGTTGGCGCTATATAAATGGCAATAATAATAATAATAATAATTAAAGCAGTTCTACCACTTGAGTGTTTTGTTAAGATATGTTAAACTCAAAGTGAATGCATGGCATTTAGGCATCGATGTGACCTGTGAAGGCTTTTGTGAGACTCTCCATAGACATCACTGTTGTACTCTAGTACATGTGAGAAAGCACAGTACTGACATGGCTCCCGGCAGATGAAGCGGCAGGAGCAGAAGGTGGTCTCAAGGAATAACATGGTTGCTACCACCAAGGTAAGCTACACTTAAAGGACCACTCTAGCTTAAAGGACCACTATAGTGCCAGGAAAACATACTCGTTTTCCTGGCACTATAGTGCCCTGAGGATGCCCCAACCTCAGGGACCCCCTCCCGCCCGGCTCTGGAAGGGGGGAAGGGGGAAAAACGTACCTTTTTCCAGCGCTGGGCGGGGAGCTCTCCTCCTCCGATCCTCCCCGTCGGCTAGCTGCACGCGCATTCAGCCAGTAGCATAGGAAAGCATTATTAATGCTTTCCTATGGACGCTTGCGTGCTCTCACTGATTTTCACAGTGAGAATCACGCAAGCGCCTCTAGCGGCTGTCAATGAGACAGCCGCTAGAGGCTTTGGGGGAAGGCTTAACCCATTGATAAACATAGCAGTTTCTCTGAAACTGCTATGTTTATAAAAGAATGGGTTAAGCCTAGCTGGACCTGGCACCCAGACCACTTCATTAAGCTGAAGTGGTCTGGGTGCCTAGAGTGGTTCTTTAATGATGTGGTCTGGGTGCCAGGTCCCTCTAGGATTAACCCCTTTTTTTTATAAACATAGTTTCAGAGAAACTGCTATGTTTATAAATGGGTTAATCCAGCCTCCAAATCCTCTAGTGGCTGTCTTATTGACAGCCGCTAGAGGCGCTTGCGTGCTTCTCACTGTGAAAAATCACAGTGAGAAGACGCACGCGTCCATAGGAAAGCATTATGAATGCTTTCCTAGGAGACCGGCTGAATGGATTGGAGGCAGAGAGCTCCCCGCCCGGCGCTGGAATAAAAGTTTAACCCCTTTCCTCGCCATCCAGCCCGGCGGGAGGGGGTCCCTGAGGGTGGGGGCACCCTCAGGGCACTATAGTGCCAGGAAAATGAGTGTTTTCCTGGCACTATAGTGGTCCTTTAAATATACCTACTTTCCACTGCGAGTGGAGATATCGCCTATAAGTCTTTCCAAAATACGCAAAGACCCTCACAGATCAGCTTTAGCTTAAAGGACCACTATAGGCACCCAGACCACTTTAGCTCAGTGAGGTCTGGGTGCCAGGTCCATCTAGGGTTAACCCTGCAGATGTACACATAGCAGTTTCAGAGAAACTGCTATGTTTACTTTAGGGTTAATTCAGCCTCTAGTGGCTGTCTCATTGACAGCCGCTAGAGGAACTTCCGCGCTTCTCACTGTGAAAATCACAGTGAGAAGACGCTGATGTCCATAGGAAAGCATTGAGTAATGCTTTCCTATGGACAGATTGAATGTCATTCGGCGGATTACGTCGGAAGAGGGAGGAAATTTCCCCAGCTCCGAGGGAGCCCAGCGCTGGAGAAAGGTAAGTGATTAACCCCTTCCTGCCCTTCAGCCGGGCAGGAGTGGGGGGGACCTAAAGACCCTATAGAGCCAGGAAAACGAGTTTGTTTTCCTGGCACTATAGTGGTCCTTTAACAAGAACCCAAATATTATAAAAACAAAACCATCACAGTTAAAATGAACAGAATGTTCTTTCTGATTAGCAACACTTTCATACATTTCCTCTGCTGAAAACCCATGGCAACAAATGTAGAGCTTAATTAAAATGGCATTAGCTTATCCTAAACTCCAACTTGACTATTGCTTCCTCAGCTAACTAAGCATTTCTGAACTATTGAGGAGCATGCTTCCCAAATATTTCAAGGATACCCAAACAGGGACTGCACAGCTGCATAAAGCTCAAATATTAAAAGAAAAGAACAGATTTTATAATTAAAGGGATACTATAGTCACCAGCTTAATGTATTTGTTCTGGTGAATATAGTCAGTCCCTGCAGGCTTTTTGCTGTAAACACTAAATGCAGTGTTTACATTACAGCCTAGGGATACCTCCAGTGGAGCCACTCAGATGGCTGCTAGAGGAGATTCCTGGGGCAGTGCTGCACACATTCAGTTTCTCCACCCTTTGCATGAAGACACTAACCTTTCCTCATAGAAAGGTTAGTGAATCAATCAATGCATCTCTATGAGGAGACACTAATTGCAAGAGTGGCATTTGGCTCTGCCCACAGCCCGCTTCCTTGGCTGAGATAATCAGAATTGACAATCTCAGCCAATCTAATGCTTTCCTATGAGAAAGCATTGTGATTGGCTAAGATCACTTCTGATGATGTCAGTCAATGAGGCAGATCAGGGGCAGAGCCATCACCAGTAGACTGGAATAAAGGTAAGATTTAACTATATTTAGGGGTCTAGTTTTTTATAACATTATAGGGTCAGTAATACATGTTTGTGTATCTGACCCTATAGTGTTCCTTTAACTCAAGTCCCACGTAAACTCTCCTTCCTGGTGTTTGTGTGTGGGTGTTGGTTCTGGGGAATTAAGGAGTGAGTGGCCTAAGCTAAATGTGTGTGAACGAGCATGAGGTCTGCCAAAATTGCTGCTTACATAGTTTTTAAAAAGTTGGTTTTAAATGGTTACAGTTTACAGTGTGATTTTACTTATCACAATCTTTAAAACAGGTTAGCTTGCTGTCTGTGCACCACAGATACAAAACATTGTTTAGCTTTTGCATTTTACTTGTTAGTAACATTTCTAATCACAATTATGCAGCTATAAAAAAAATAAAAAATAAAAATATTGGAATATATAAAAATTATAGACAGGCGTAAGAACAAGGGTAGTAGTGAAAGCTTCGTTGCTCATTCTAACTTGTTTTATTGTCTCCAGGAGTTCACTCTTCCGCATTATCTTAAAACATATATGTGTGTTATATATGTATGTATACAGAAGCTGTGATAGCTTTACAGTAAACATTAAACATTCAAGTATCAGACTTAGAAATATGTGTTTGATTGAAAGGCATATTTATTCTGGATTTCTTGTTTCCCCTATTAAGTAGCAACTTAAATTATGTGATGCATGTACTTTGGATTTACACTTTTTATATTTTCTATTTTTATAGGATATAAAGGAAGGCACTAGGGATTGCCTATTCTTGCACATACAGACAAAATATACTCTGCTGGCATTTTAGCAATCTACTTAGAATATGAGAATATCCTGCAAATGTTGGTTACATTAGATTGTCATCACTATCTAGGTCCTAGGACAAATTAATAAGAGGAAACAAACACCTATAAATGTACATTTTTAATTTTGTATCCCCTAACATCAGTTTACAAACAGACAAAAAATGTGGTATTGTCTTCATTTCAGTGTTCCAAACAAATGTCACAATTCATTTTTTCTTTTTATAAATGCGAAAGGAGGTTGAATTAACCACATGGAAAAATATCACCTAAGGCAGTGGGGGAGGAGGAAGAGGCAATGCTCTTGAGTGGCCTGAGAGTTGGACAGCTTTGCACCAGGGGTCATTGGAACCAAACATATCAAAGTATGAGAGTTGTAGCATAAGCATTACAACAATTACCACATTCTCAGTATATAATGTTCATACCTACAGCCTACACTGTACACAAACACTGTATAGACGCAAAGTATTATATGTACAAAATAGATCTCGTATAAATTCATGCACCACACATAGGTCAAAAAGAAAATTATTTTTTAAACATTAGTACAAGGGGTGAGTGGCTAAAAAAAACCTCAGTGAGATTTTATAAATCTGCAAATGTATGAGCCTTTTAATCAGATATTCATGTACATTTTCCAAAATTACTACCACAGTCTTACCAAGCAGTATGAACATCATGGAAGGTAAGGAATGTTGTCTGGCTACCATGTTAAGATTAAGGTTTGTAGAGTTCAGTAATCAATTATTTAAAACTGCTAAAATCTTAAAATAGTGATCATAAAAATAATATAACTATCCTAAGTAATGCAGGCCAATCATCTCCTACCTCATATTTTTGGTCTGACAATATGCTTGTTGAAATCTAACCAGGTGAGTGTCATCTGATAACTAGGGCTGACCTGCCATAGGCCTTCTGTAGTTACTCATACATAAAACCTGATGGTATGATCAGTTTCTCTCATGTTGTGGTTATGTATGCATCCTAGCATCCTACTGCTTTACATCAAAATGGCTTAAATGATCTCTATACAGAACTTCTAAGAATAAAGGGGATCGTATATATCACCAAAGAGTTTCAGGTTTAACTTTTTTCTTATTAAGTAAAAGTATAAGCTGGCAATAATTATCTTATAAAAAGGAGGCTACGTAAAAAACCTAAAGCAACATTGAATAATGCAGCAAATTCACAGCAAGAGGCTTCTTATTTTAGATGCTCTGGATGTGAAGGGATGCATGTCACATTAATAAGGCACATTCCATCTCTACATAAATTGATCCTCACAGCTACAGTCTGTCCTGAAATATGGGGAGGTTGCTCTGTTTTGTTTTTGGCTTCTGGCTGATATTTTGGCACTAGAGTAGTTACAACGAGGCAGCTCCCCAGAAATGAATTTGGCACAAGTAAAGGAAAAACAATGTTCAAAACACAAGTCATGGCCAAATACCAAAGATCCACACGGTGTGAGTGCCACAGCTTCAACCTGCTTTAAGTGTCTCCTCCAAGAACAAAAGGGTGTTGGCTGGGTCACAAACAAGAGCCGTCATCCCTCCCTTAAAAGGCTTAAATTTTAATCACACTCACTAACTCCTTAAAAAAGTTAAACTTCTAAACATAAACTTTTTTAACTCCTTAACTTCCACTGAGGGCATCTTATCTGCTGGAGGCTATTTGACTCCTTCTGGAGGGGGTATAAACCATCCCACCACTTTTTAACACATTTGTGTTTAAGTCTCAAATGTGCACAGATATTTAATTTCAGATATAGAAAATAAATCCTGCATCATGCAGCAATTAACCTCCACATGGTTAAAAAAAAAAAAAAAAAATTAAGAAAAAAAAAAACTTAGGATACTTGTAAAAATAACATACTTTAAGGTATTGAATTAAAAATAATCTGGCTAAAATCCCCTAAAGAATTCTAAAAATGTATCATATTAAATTTTGTGGCCAAGACCATTTGTAAATCTATGACACAGTTGTTTCAAGCAGAGAAGGGGAGGAGTTAAAAAGATAATTGGGAAGACATTATCCCACAGAATGAAGGACATTGTGTACATAATAGGATAATTCAGTAAAGCTTGGAATAATGTTTGGCAATAAAAAGATGACACTCTTTTTCTGTGTCTGTTATGGACAATTCCACAGGAATGTCTTAGTCCGTCTTCCAGACCTTGTTCAAAATCTTCACCACCTCATCATAAATAATAAAGACAATGGCCACATCAAGACATACACGTCCAAGACGGGGCACTGTCCCCTTGTAAAACCTGCAGAAAGACAAATTTAGAGAGAAACTAGATTTAAGACCAAGAAAACAGCAGCAATAGATACACATGGTTTAATTACAATGGGGTGAATAGTAAGCAATAAGGAAGAGGTGATCAGTAGGCACATTGTTACATGAAGGGCCAGTGGAGGAGGCAGAAAAGATGGCAGTTATAGAGTTTTTATAGTAAGTAAAGTAACAGAAGACAAAACAGACTTACGCTTTGGGTCCCTCGTATTTGAGTATCTTGTAAGCACAATCCAAGGTGCTTTTATACTTATGAGCCTCTAGTCCCTGCAGAAGAGATAATAATGGGAGATTATGATCTCGTTTTCAGGGAAGGGGTGCGGATGGGGAACAGTATGGGAGTTATGTAAAAAGAGCCATTTTCCAGCAAAGTATCAAGTCTCTATAACCATGGAAACTAGTATAATGTTCCTCCTGATCCACCATTATAACTTTGCCCCAAATGTGCTCTCTCTATATAACCTCCTATCATTCTTTGCAAAATAAAAATGTTTTCACTGTTGAGAGTCAATTCCCACCTGCATTCTGGTCTTCACTACATCCAATGGTGTATTGCCAAACACACTGGCTGCACCAGCAATAGCTCCAAAAGCCCCAGTCACTAATGGGTTCATAGGTTTGTTGGGGTTGTCACCTGAAGAAAAAAAATACACAATACAAAATGAATTAAGAGAAAATTGGTTTGAAATATATGGTTATTCAGAGAGAATAAAAGCGTAACATTGATCTCAAGTGAAAAAAAAAAATAGATCAAAACATTGGTTTGGGAAGGGAGACAGAACAGGACCGACAGAATGAAACAACACTGAAGATTAAAGTAGAATAAGAGAATTAATGGAGCTTGTCGACAAGTTTAGACACAGAGGTAAACTACATATGAGCTGAGAGAATAGAATAAAAATGCCCAATAGAAGATTAGCCAGCAGACATACTTGAGACAATGTAAGCAGAGGGCCTCCTATCAGCGAGATTTACCTCTATACCAGTTCCTCATTGATGTCATGACAAAGAAGCGTATAGCCTGGTTGGAACCTTGTTTAAGGACAGTGGCTGTAAGACCTTGATAAGTTCCCTTTATACCTAATTAATACACAAAAACATAATATGTTCCACAAATATACCATGAGGGAAATAAGAAAGTGTGCAGGTTGTGTGGTATATATAAAGGAGACATTCTGAATCAATATGTTACTAGCAGCTACCAAATGGTTCTAAACCTCAATTATTTTAGTAAACCATATTCTCCATCACTAACATTTGGAAATTCAGACAAAAATAAACATTATGCCAAACAAAGCATTTTGAAAGAACACCTGGGCAATTTCTGAAAATCGAAACACTGATCGGCCATTCATGGTGACTGAATAAAGTCCCACAATTTACAGGTACTGAAATTGTATATAAATAAGTACTGGGACAAGTGATGTTCTAAAATGTACACTCAACATACTATTTGCATCATCCTCCAATTTGCAGTAAGCGCAGCAAATGGAGACATCTTTATTACTAGACTTTTGGGAATTTGACACGTAGGTTTTGGATACATAAAGTTATCTAAGTGAAGGTGGGGGGGGGCGACAAAAGGGAATAAGAAAAGAGTACCTTGCTGTCTAATAATTTCCCGTACTCCATGGAAAAAACCTTGGTATTTAGGGTTAGGTGAGCACTGATCATGTATAAACTTCACCTAGAATGAGGAAAAATAAATCATATAGTTATGTTAGCATTCAGCATCACCCGTTACACAGAAATAACATGTACAAATTTAACATTACATCACCTAGTAACAAAGTTAACCACCAATTATTTAACACTAGGTTGTGGTAATTTACAGAATTGTTATTGTAGTATACATACACATAAATCATCATCTTAGTATTGTAGAATACACGATTTAAAATCGTATAGTATGAGTAAGCAGCATACTATATTAGGGTTGATGTAAAAAGGTGCAGTTCTTAAAGGTGAGCTCTAGATGGTGCTAAAGTATTTTTTGTCTGCTAATGCTTCTACATTAAAGGAAATACTGTACAGAATAACTTAAAAACATAAGAAACATTTTTCTTAGGAGATGTATTGCCACTGATTTTCTTCGGACATTCGCCAAACCATTGAATTAGATTGTTAGTGTTGAGCAGGACGGAGGGAGCATTTTTCCATTGCATTTTGTGAGTTGGATGCTACTTTAATAGACAGAAGGATATGCAAAGCAGAAAGAAAACCGCATGCCATCTGACTGTGAATGTAAACTACAATATCGCTCTCAACCAAGAATATTACCATCAATGAATATGTGTTTTAGTGTTTATAAAATACACCCTACCCTCCATTTATATATAAAGGACGTAAGAGATTCCAGAGAGTGCACATTTGCTGGGATTGCTCAGGAAGCTGCAGTAAATTTTTACATTGAGCTGCTAACCATCTTTAAGATCTACACAAATAGGCTGGGTTACAAATAACATTTTACTGCCAAAATATTGGCAGAGCCAGTAAACTCCACCTCTGGAGGAGCAATATAACACCACAAATCAAGCCTTGCTATTGTTCTATATATGTTATTGCGAATTCATGTTATCTCACTATTCCATAAATCACCATGTCTTATAGCTAGTTAGGATATACCGTGTTATGTGTGTATACACTGCTCAAAGCAGTATATTGCTCTCTACGTGCGCAAAGTGCTCTGTGAACGGTTTCTATATGCATGGATACTCTGCTTTGTGGGTTATGTTTCTCTACATATAGACATATTGTTGTATAGGTTATATTGATGCATGTATGGATATACTACTCTATAAATTATATTGCTGTATGTATAATACACTACTCTATAAATTATATTGCTGTATGTATAATACACTACTCTATAAATTATATTGCTGTATGTATAATACACTGCTCTATAAATTATATTGCTGTGTGTATTATACACTGCTCTATAAATTATATTGATGTATGTATGATATACTGCTGTGGGTTATATTGATGTATGTATTATACACTGCTCTATAAATTATATTGATGTAGGTATGGATATACTACTCTATAAATTATATTGATGTATTATACACTGCTCTATAAATTATATTGCTGTATGTGTAATACACTACCCTATAAATTATATTGCTGTATGTATAATACACTGCTCTATAAATTATATTGCTGTGTGTATTATACACTGCTCTATAAATTATATTGATGTATGTGTATATACACTGCTCTATAAATTATATTGATGTAGGTATGGATATACTACTCTATAAATTATATTGATGTATTATACACTGCTCTATAAATTATATTGCTGTATGTGTAATACACTACCCTATAAATTATATTGCTGTATGTATAATACACTGCTCTATAAATTATATTGCTGTGTGTATTATACACTGCTCTATAAATTATATTGCTGTGTGTATTATACACTGCTCTATAAATTATATTGATGTATGTATAATACACTGCTCTATAAATTATATTGCTGTGTGTATTATACACTGCTCTATAAATTATATTGCTGTGTGTATTATACACTGCTCTATAAATTATATTGATGTATGTATTATACACTGCTCTATAAATTATATTGATGTGTATATATGGATACACTGCTCTATAAATTATACTGATTTATGTATTATACACTGCTCTATAAATTATATTGATGTGTAAATATGGACAAACTGCTCTATAAATTATATTGATGTGTATATATGGATACACTGCTCTATAAATTATATTGATGTATGTGTGGATACACTGCTCTGTGGGTTATATTGTTCTATGCACAGATGCACTGCTCTGTAGTTTATGTGTATGGTTATATCAATTTCTGTAAATTAGATTGTTCTCTTGTAGTAAATATGTTCACAAACACTTTTAAATTTGGCACTTAACCTTAAATGTTTAGCACAAAGGATTTTTTGTAATGCTTGTTTATAATATAAACAGGTTTCGATTTCATTAACTAGTGATGGTCACAAATCAGCCTGTGGAATGGCAAACACATGGAGAGGGCACAACAGGGGCTCCCACCTTAACCGTCTCCATGGGACAGACCACAACAACAGCCTCGGCCACACCAGCACCAAGACCGCACAGCAAACTACGTTTATTGTCCAGCTTCCCATCAGCATCCCGCATGTGATTACTGAGAAACTCAAACATCCCAAACCTGGAGGGAGAGAGATGGTGGTGAGGGGGGCACAGGGAGAGTGTGGAGATTTGAGGTGACAATAGAAGCTGTTGTTGGACAAAGTTTGAAACACACAGTGAAAACATGCAAATGCAAGGACAGAAGTGCATTAATAAAATAAAAATTGTCATTATATGGAGCTAACCGATCCTTAACAACCACAAACCAGCAGAGAATTCCACCACCTATTCATCAAGTTACCTGACTGCTGCCTTAGGAATGGAACCATACAGCAGTGAACTGAGCCCCCGGTACAGCCCTTTGACACCATGTCCGTCAACAGTTTGCTTCACACAGTCAGCTTTAACAAAGGAAGAAAGAGAGAAAATATGCAGAGCAGTTTGAAAGAGCATCACATACAAATAAATTTCACTGTTAAAAATGTTTTTTGATACAATCCTCTACATATAATAATGCAACTTAAACTGTGTGCTCCCCCCATAACCCACTGCTTCCATCATCCATGAAATGACTTACCTATGCCCCGGTACCTTGGTGGATTTGCCTTCTCATCAAGCTGTAGCTGTGTCTTAACATATTCAGTGGGGAATGTGATGCAGATTTCTATACCTCCAGCGATCCCACCTGTGGGGAAACAGATAAAGAGTATTCTAGATCACTCATATATTCTGTAGACTGGGTTTAATAAATGCATATCACTGCAGTTCATGGTTGGAATTTAAGGGTCTTATGAGAAATGCGTGTATTTTCAGAGTTCTGCTGTTAACTGGAAAACTCTTGTGGGGAATTTGCAATTATTAGAGTTAACAGGTGGAATTTTTAAAGTGACTAGGCAAATCCCAAGGCTGTGAATGGGCAAATTATCAGGGTAAACTAGTAAAATGTAAAGGTGAATGGGCAAACTAAGGTAAATATGAATGTGAATATTAAGGCAGATAGAAACGCACAGTGTTTTTTCAAGGTTCTTAAGAGTAAATGGGCTGCTTCACAGAGTAGATTGCCAGAAGAAAGGGAGAAAGGGTATATTTTGAGTAACTTGGGGTGAATAGCCTGCTTATCAAAGAATCGGGATGAGCTGACAAATGTGAGGCCTCTGGGTGAAAGACCAGAATTGTAGGTAATTACAAGGAGAATCCTACTATTTACTTTATTGTTACAGCTACTGTGGTTTGGCATTTTCTAACACAGTTACTCCTTGTAGAGCAAGTCTAACCATACAAACAAACCACGTTTTTCCTTAGGCTTCAAGCTGAACATTGTTGTTTTTCAAGCCCTGCTATACCTAATCCAAATATTTCTATTGAAGCAGGAAAAATGTACAGTAACACTCCAAACACCTAAAACAATTTGTTTTTCTAAAGTGCTTTATGTGTGTCCTCCCCCCACAATCATTTTGTACAAAGTGCATATTTCAATAGAAATTGGCACTTTTATAAATTAACCTGGTTACACCCCCTGGCTTTCAATCAGACAACAGTTTCTGTTACTTCCAGGCTTGGTTAACTCAAGAGGCAGCAATTGCTCTGTGCACCTGTCTTGCAAAGATGTCTAATTGAGCTGTATTGGACAGTCACATAAAGTCTGGACTGGGGATGAAAGGGGGGGGGAGCTTACAAAGGCTACAGACAAGAGAACAGCAGGTTTTGCAGGCTCACAGATATACCCTAATAAACAATATACAGAATTATATGTATGCATGTTTTCATTGGGGTATATCTACTAAACAGCTTTATTTTTAGTGCAGTGTCCCTTTAACGCTGGCCCATAGTTCAGCCATGTACCTGCTGTGTGCTACATGTCCCAAAACAATCTGTCATAAACTGTGGTTTACCTGAAGAAAGGCAAACCACTTATGAAACATATACACAGGATTCTATGCAGTTAAGGGAATGTTTGTTGAAAATGTTTACTAATAATTTAGAACCCTAACCTCATGTTTTGCTCAGATTAAAGTGCACTATCACACAACTGTGTGATTCATTCATTTCTAAATACTCTTAATATGCAACAGTGGAATAACCAGTGTCACAAAGTGCACAGCTACCCACTTTACTTGATACAGTGTATTGAGCATGAGTCAGCATTGTTTCTGAAGGTGATAGCTGATTGGCCAGGCTGGACAACACCCCTCTCCTTAGCAGACAGCTCAGTATATGCTGCAATAGCAGAACAGGCTGCATTCTTTCTAGATGCAAAACTCAGAGAGCAAATCTGCATCATTGTTAAATGATCTCAGTGTAGATGATCCAGGCAGTCCTGTTTAGTTAGTAATAGTTACCAGCAGTGAGGGGCAGGGTGCATAGTCCAGGAATTGAGCAGTGTGCAACAAGGAACTTGTTCTATTTCAGTCACCACTCCCAAAAATTAAAGCACTTTACTGTATTGTAGGTGTTGCATACTTCATGACAGAGTGTTTGCTGTTGCTGGTATATCATCTGTTACGAAAGGGTTGAAATACTGCCAGATCACTGTGCACACTGTGTGAAAGTGATCCATATTCTAGATAATGAACCTACAAGGATGGTTCTTCATTGGTATTTCAGTTCTACAGTGCTCTACAGTGCCCAATAACATAGAGAAATGCAAAGTTATGCACTTCGGGGTTAAGAATGCACAAGCAACTTACACACTAAATGGTAGTGAATTAGGGATAACCACACACGAGAAGGATTTGGGAATTGTTATAGACAACAAATTAGGCAGCAATATGCAATGTCAATCTGCAGTTGCTAAGACCAGTAAGATTTTGTCATGTATAAATAGGGGCATAAATATAATTTTGCCTCTTTATAAATCGCTGGTAAGACCACACCTTGAATATGCTGTGCAATTTTGGGCACCTGTTCTAAAGAAGGATATCATGGCACTGGAAAGAGTCCAGAGACGAGCTACAAAATTGATAAAAGGAATGGAGCATTTTAGTTATGATGAAAGGTTAAAAAAATTAAATCTGTTTAGTTTGGAAAAACGGCGCCTGAGAGGGGATATGATAACTTTATACAAATATATTAGGGGCCAGTACAAACCATTATCTGGAAATCTATTCATAAACAGGGCTATACATAGGACACGAGGTCACACATTTAGGCTGGAAGAAAGGAGATTTCATCTAAGGCAAAGAAAAGTTTTTTTTACAGTAAGAACAATATGGAATTCTCTGCCTGAAGGGGTGGTTTTGTCAGAGTCCATACAGATGTTTAAACTGAAAATGGATAAATACTTACAAAAACATAACATACAGGGATATCATTTCTAATTAGTGGGGTAATAGCTGCTTGATCCAAGGAAACATCTGACTGCTATTTTGGGGTCAAGAAGGAATTTTTTCCTAGTTTGTGGCAAAATTGGAACCGCTTCAGACCAGGTTTTTTGCCTTCTTTTGGATCAACAGCAACAACATTTGTGAGGAAGGCTGAACTTGATGGACGCAAGTCTCTTTTCAGCTATGTAACTATGTACACTAATGTTGGCACCTATGCCAAATAAAAGCCCCCCCTCCCCCCCAAAAGGTTAAACATTGTCTTTTTAAAAACTGTTTAAAATTATTATCCTTTGTTAAAATAAAATACTACACTCAAGGATATCAAACAATTGCAAGCATAACAGAGGTTTAAGACTCCTCATCAAAAAAAAAAAAAAAAAAAAAAATATATATATTTATTTATATTGTGTTAAATGTGTGTGACAATTATTGGCACTTTTTAGTCAATATTTACTTTGCTACAGTTCTTAGTCTTCTCCTATAATGTCTGATGAAGTTGGAGAGTACATGGCAAGGGATCTCAGACCATTCCCCTATACAGAATCTCTCCAGATCCTTCAAATTACAAAGTAGAAGCTGGTGGACTCATCCCACAGGTTTTCTAAGGGGTTCAAGTCAGGGGACAAAGATGACCATAGCAGGACCTTCAGTTTTGTGGTTAGTAAACCATTTTTTTGTTCCTTTTGATGTATGTTCTGGGTCATTGTCCTTCTGGAAGAGCCAACCATGGCCCATTTTAAGCTTTCTGGCCTAGGCACTCAGGTGCTCCTTTAACGGGTTACTATAACTGTTTTGAGAGGAGGAACCTTTCCGCTATTACATGTCATACTGGGTACTATAAGGAAGGTCCTCCTCTCAATTTGCAGTAAAAGATGAAGAAGAGGTTTTACTTACCTTGAATCCAGCACCAGACAAAGCTCAGACGCTGCACTTCAGCGCCCTCTCGGACGTCACTGGGACTGTGCACAGTCCAATCACTGGACCATTTCACCGGTTCAGAGTAGATGGGCTCCAGGGAGGGAGGTATTTTTTAGGGTGCAAATAGCCCCAGCATTCAATTAGAAAGAAATCTGTATGTGCAGTGTTTCAAGCAAAAATTAATGAAGTGGTCATGGTGTTTGTAGTAACCCTTTGTTCAGGATGTTATATAACCTAACAAGGTCCTCTGGTAGGAAAACAGCTCAAAAACATCAAATAGCCACGACCATATTTAACCGTGGGCATAATGTACTTTTCAGTATGGCTACTTCTCTATGTGTGCCACACCTACTTCTGTTGTGTATTCCAAAAAGTTCTATTTTGGTTTCATCTAACCATAGAAAGTGACCCCATTTCTAGTTACAGTAATGTATGGCAAATTGTAGATGCTTCAGGTTATTTTGGGTGAGAGTAGAGGCTTTTTCTTTAAACTCTTCCAAATAACTTGTGGTGTTGTAGCTGATGTCGAATTGTAGTTTTGGAGACTTTCTAACCCCAAGGCACAACTAACTTCTGCAATACACCAACTATGATCCTTGAAAATTTTCTGGTCAGTTGATTATTGCCCTGGTCAGTTAATTATTGCCCTGCTGGTGGAAACTGACATTTGCAAGGCTTTTGCTATTTTCTTATAACCACTTGCCATTATGTGAAGCTCAACAACCTTTTGGCGCACATCACAGCTATATTCCTTGGTCTTGGTCCACTGTGATGAATAAAGAGGGGAAGTTAGCATATATATTTATACCCCTGCGAAACAGGAAGTCATAGTTGAACAATCTCCTGTTCCTAGTCACCCAGGTGTACAAAATTGATATCCACGAGAGCAGAATATTTTTTTTTATTTTTTTTTAACAAAAGGTTAAACTATAAAGACAATTTTCAAAGCCTTCCTTACTAATATTTCCCAAGGGTGCCAATATTAGTGGAGGGCACCGTATGAAAGTATATACTGTAAAATGTTTAACACCTCTTGCATGTTCACTAATCTTAGTACAGTGTCCTGGACACATGAATTATATGAGAAATGTAACAGCCACTGTGCTTCCTTCCTCCTCTACCGATAGAGAGCTGGAAGCTTATATTTAGCAGGTGTGTGTGGCACCAGGTCACTCCTGGCAAAGAGGGAAGAATAAACTGACAAGTGATTGGTTGTACTTGTTAAATTCTGCAAAATTCTTTATGGGGTATCTTGGTCATTCAATTCAATGGCAAGCATAATGCTAAATAAACATCAGCAACGGTATCACCTTATGTTTTTGTGTGCTTTTTCTGCCTCATAACTTTTGACTGAGTAAGCACCATGGAGGCTGCAAGTAGGGATCAACCGATATTGGGTTTTTTAAAGCCGATACCGATAATCTGTGAACTTTCAGGCCGATAACGTGTCGATATTCTGCCCATTTACAATTTTTAAAAAATAAACTATTTTTAAAGGTAAATGCACAAAATATACATGCCACATGTAGTGGATGCAGTGTGTTTAGACAGGGGAGCTCTGTGTGTGTGTAGTGGATGCAGTGTGTGTTTGTGTAGTGTGTATAGTGAATGCAGTGAGTGTGTAGTGTGTATAGTGAATGCAGTGTCTGTGTAGTGTGTGTGTATATATATATATATATATATATATATATATATACATACATACATACATATATATATATATATATATATATATATATAGTGAATGCAGAGTGTGCGTTTGTGTAGTGTTTATAAATAGTGAATGCAGAGTGTGTGTTTTTGTAGTGTGTGTATAGTGAATGTAGTGTATGTATAGTAAATGCAGTGTGTGTAAAGTGAATACAGTGTGTTTGTATAGTGTGTGTATATAATTAATGCAGAGTGTGTGTGTTTGTGTAGTGTGTGTGTGTTTGTATAGTTTGTGTATATAATGAATGCAGTGTATGTGTGTGCGTTTGTATAGTGTGTGTATATAATGAATGCAGTGTGTGTTTGTATAGTGTGTGTATATAATGAATACAGTGTGTGTGCGTGTTTGTATAGTGTGTGTATATAATGAATGCAGTGTGTGTGCGTTTGTATAGTGTGTGAATATAATGAATGCAGTGTGTGTGCGTTTGTATAGTGTGTGTATATAATGAATGCAGTGTGTGTGTGTTTGTATAGTGTGTGGATATAATGAATGCAGTGTGTGTGTTTGTATAGTGTGTGTATATAATGAATGCAGTGTGTGTGTGTTTGTATAGTGTGTGGATATAATGAATGCAGTGTGTGTGTGTTTGTATGTTGTGTGTATATAATGAATGCAGTGTGTGTGTTTGTATAGTGTGTGGATATAATGAATGCAGTGTGTGTGTTTGTATAGTGTGTGGATATAATGAATGCAGTGTGTGTGTTTGTATAGTGTGTGGATATAATGAATGCAGTGTGTGTGTTTGTATAGTGTGTGGATATAATGAATGCAGTGTGTCTGTTTGTATAGTGTGTGGATATAATGAATGCAGTGTGTGTGTTTGTATAGTGTGTGGATATAATGAATGCAGTGTGTGTGTATAGTGTGTGGATATAATGAATGCAGTGTGTGTGTGTTTGCATAGTGTGTATGTATAGTGTGTATATATAATGAATGCAGTGTGTTTGTATAGTGTGTGTGTGTTTGTATAGGGTGTGTATATAATGAATGCAGTGTGTGTTTGTATAGTGTGTGGATATAATGAATGCAGTGTGTGTGTATAGTGTGTGGATATAATGAATGCAGTGTGTGTGTGTTTGCATAGTGTGTATGTATAGTGTGTATATATAATGAATGCAGTGTGTTTGTATAGTGTGTGTGTGTTTGTATAGGGTGTGTATATAATGAATGCAGTGTGTGTTTGTATAGTGCATGGGTCGTCAACCTGGTCCCTACGGCCCACTAGTGGGCGTTTCAGGATTCCAGGTGGGCGGTAGGGATTTCGAAAGCTAAATCCTCTTTTTAAGAGGATTTCTCCTTTTGGGTGGGCCCGAGCGGCTCTAAGGGCACAAGTTTTCCGTAACCGGCAGGAGGAAGTGCTTCCTCCTGCCAGGCCACCTTCTGGACCCCCCGGCATGGCAGAGTTCTAATCAGACACGGCGAGGGAGCTCTAACCGCTCTGCTCTGCTCCAGGAGCCGGAATATGACGTCATATTCCGGCTCCCGGCATCAGTAGACAGCCCGCGAGGGAGCAGAGCAGAGAGATTAGAGCTCCCTCGCCGCGTCTGATTAGCACACAGCCGCCCGCCGAAGTGAAGCCCCACTGGACCCCAGGGACAGATCCACACCAGCTCTCCAGGTAGGGAGGCTGGGTGGACATTTAATATTAATAATTTGTGTGTATGTCTGTAAGGTGTATGTGTCTGTCTGTAAGTGTGTTAGTAAGTGCATGTGTGAGTATGTGTATGTTTGTCTGTATGTGTCTGTAAGTGTATGTGTGAGTGTTTGTCTGTGAGTGTGTGTGTGTGTGTGTGTGTGTGTGTGTTTGTCTGTGAGCAGAGTACTTGTAGAATAGGAGAAAGAAGGAGCAGAGTACTTGTAGAATAGGAGAAGAAGGAGTAGAGTACTTGTAAAAAAGGAGAAAAAAGGAAAAGGAGAGAATTGTTGTTGAATAATAATAATAATAATAATAATAATAATAATAATAATAATAATAACTAGGCACTCAGGTGCTCCTTTGAATGGTTACTATAACTGTTTTGAGAGGAGGAACCTCTATGTGTCAGATACTTACACACACACACACACACCTTGACATACAGATACATACACACACACACACACAAATACACACTGTGTGCCAAGGTGTGCTACTATGTGCCTGTGTGTCAGATTCATACACACTGACACACAGATACACACACTGGCACATACAAACACAGATACACACACACTGTGTGTACTTGTGTGTCAGATTCACACACACATCGGCACATAGAAACACACATACACACAGATATACACTGTGTGTCAGTGTGTGCCACAATGTGCCAGTGTGAATCTGTGTGTCAGATACACACACACACACACATTACACAGTGACAGACACATACACACAATGGTACATACAAACACAGATACACAAACCTTGACACACCGTCATGTTAAAAAATAAATAAATAATTTTTAAAAAGGCGCAGGTTTTTGTAACGGGGCGAAGTGAGAGGGGTTCCACGATGTTGATACACTATGTCAAAGGGTTCCAGCGGAAAAATTAATTGGGAACCCCTGCTCTAATGTATGGTGTTAGAGTGTCCCTTCAAAGTGTAGCTATCATGGATAGCATGATTTGATTACTTTTAAAATTACAACACTGCATGTGTAGTAGTAAAGAAATTCTATTGTGACCTTTACAGCTATGTTGTTGGCATTTTGGTATAAACTGCTACTTCCGCCTCCAAACAGGCATACACTCATTTATTGTGGAATGACTCTACCAGAATATACGGACGAATGCATAAGCATCTGTTCCAGGCAGACATATTTTCAAGATAATTTTTTATTTTTTTATTTACATACATCGTAAATTAAACCACTAAGTATGTATCTACAAACAAAGTGTTGTGTATTTCCTAAAAATGTGGCTTGCACAACATGGTACTATATGATTATACTATTCTATGACAACTTGCTGATGTGTGGCTATATTAATAAAGGGTCAGCTGAGATTCAAGGCTTGTGACGCAACTATTATCAATTGTTTATTAAGCAAAACAAATTAACCATGCAAGGTTGACATGCAAATAAGTGAAGAGACAAACCAGAACAAATGCAGCCAAGGACCTTCTTTGTAAGAACTCAGGGATACATTTAGACACACTGGGGAGGGGGGGGAGAGGGGGTAAAGATCTGTGTTAAAATAGGTTATTCTCCCAGTTCTAATACAGATCAGGCATGGCCAGTATTGTACCCTTCTTAAGTGCTCTGAGGTCCAGAGGCTCAAACATATACGATGCAAGATAAATAAAATACAGAACTTTGTCTCAGAGAAATACAGAGAAAAGCATGACTGAAGGCTAAAGGCAAACAAGGAAGGTATGGAGAGCGGGGGCTGGGAGAGATGGAAAGCAAACAAGAATGAAAGGCACTTAGTGAAGAACGCAATTACGCTTTATAATATAGTCAGAATCTTCAGTACAATAAACTACAAACAATACAGACAGATAAGGTACTTAAAGTTTTATCTACCAATGTTAACTATTTTGTGGAAAAAAGAAAACAGCTTTAACTATGTTGAGTAATTTTCAAAGCATACACAGGTCAAATGTCAAAAGCTTGTAACATTTTTGACCACTTTGTTCAATAGATCAAGTTTCTCGAGTTGCAAAGTTTGCAAAATCTCCACTGCTTGATCACTAAATGTGGAGTTAAGTATTGCTGTGTACCTTAAAACTAAATAAATATGCATTATTAGTATGATCTATGGAGCTTATAGATATACTGACTTGTTTCAAATATTATTTGCATCAACTGCTCTTTGCATAGTCTTACCCTACTTGGTTTCTTTTAATTTACTAAAAATGCTATTCAACTTTAGTTACAATTTTCTGGCAGCTTCACGACTTACCAAGAGTTTAAATCAAAATGTGAATATACAGAACTATGAATACATATATCTTCCCAAATTAACAATTTTCCTTAATACTTAAACACTCCAGCCCCCATTAACAACTACATCTCTATTAAGGATTTGTTGTCCTGGTGCCTGTCTGCTCTGCCCCTTTGCAGTACCCCTTCTACGGCCACTGCACTAGTAAGGAAAATGTCGCCGTTGTATGACGCTCTCAGCCTATCACTGGACACCAATCGCAGCAAATACTTTAGAGATATATGTATGTATTGAGAGGACGTTATTATGGGGACTGGACTGAAGTGTTCCTTTAAAGTTTTGGTACAGGTGGTGACAGGAAGATAACAGAGTCAGAGGTCAGTACCTCAATACCAATAAGATTGCCAAATGCCAGCTTGGATCACATTGCACCATGACAAATAAAAAGTATTGATATATCTTATAAAATAAATACATTATATATAGTGATTTATATGAAAGTATATAATGCTTATATGCAGTGACTGTAGACCAATAAGTAAAAATAACATAGCATATTTGTTACAGCACTGAAAAACACAACATGATCACATGCCAAAATGATACCGTGCATTACATTTTCTCAACCTCTGGGTGTACTTCTGACAGGGTCAGAGAAAATGTCAGAGGTGAATGCTATGCCTAAAGAAATATATTAGCGGCACAAGTTCGAAATCTAATAGCTGTATCAATAGCCAAATACAGTGTGAAAATTAAATCAAGATCTTAATAGGCAGAAAGCTGTTTAGGAACAGCAAACCTCACAATGCTACCATATCATTCTAAAAGAAGTGTCTGCAGCTGGCTAAAAACATGTGTTTTCATTTTAACCACAGGAGAGCTACAAGTTGATGCCCCTGACCTGTAGAATATGTCAGTTATTTCAATGGTTTTATACATTGCCTTTATCAACACTTGCATCTGACCTGGACAGTTTACTCTACATTTTCTGTTTTGCAAATTATGCTGATGCGTGGATGCAAGGAAACTCCTGGGAAGAGGATTCAATTATATATCTTCAAATGGGCATGACATCTCCACATACTGCAGGTGCATTTTTATTCTTTTGCTATTAAATCAAAAGTAAAGCAAACGTTTAATGTCAGTATAAAGGAACACAGACTACGGTATTGTTAATGTGGCAACGTGAGAGTTCACAGTTACTAGTATGCCATCTCAGGGGGAATCCATCTCCTGGCATGTGCATATGGTCAGTGTTCAGTCAAGGAAGTATCCCCTCGTGGGTGAGTGGTTGAACTCTCCGGAGATGCCAAAATGTACAAGAGTGAGAGTTCTGCTGGGCCCTTCCAGTGTCAGTATGCCTGTGGGAAATAAATGTGTGGTGCACAATACTTGCGTGTCCCTCATGCAGTTGTCAGCGTGGTTTAATGCCTGTCCGGCGCTTTCTGCCAGTCTAGGCGTAATCTGCCCAGTGATGGAGCTTGCGCAGGCTCTAGTTGTGGGTTGATGCCCCACAACTTTAGCTGGTTGGCGCCATCTTCGGGGGTCAGGATAGCCTTGAGAGAGCCTTCTCTGGACACCAAGAGCTTCGTGGGATATCCCCACCTGTACTCCGTTGGTGCGAAGTGCCGCAGTAATGGGGGCGAAATCTTTCCTTCTTCGCAGGGTGATCGCTGAGATATCTGGGAAGATTTGTACCGTGGCGTAATAGTCTGGAGGCTTGGGTTTGCTCCTGCTGGCTCGGAGGACGTGCTCTTTAATGTGGTAGTAATGGGCACGTAATAGAACATCTCTGGGTGAGGAGTCTGACAGGTGGCGTGGTCGCGGCACTCAATGAACCCTGTCGAGCAACAGCATATCGGACTGGATCTCGGGCGCGTAAGCACTAAGCAGGCCTCGCACATATGCTTGCAGATCCGCTGGGAGCACTGTCTCAGGTACCCCCCGCAGCCGCAGGTTGTTTCGCCGAGACCTGTCCTCCATGTCCGCCAGTTTCGTTTCTGTGAGTAGTAGTTTGTCTTCCAATCGCTCCACGTGTGTTGCGAGATTGTTGTGGGCAGCCGCCATTTCGTCCATTTTCGTTTCCATGTGCGACGTTCTCTTGCCTATTTCTTGGATATCTTTACGAAGGGAGTCCATGGAATGCTGCCAGGACCCAATCAGCTTTTGGGACAGGGCTTCCAATGCTTGAGTTAGGTGGCTTTTTGTAAGGGCATCCCCTGGTTCAGGTATGCTTTGCGAGGCACTTTCATCGTCGGTACCCTCATCGCCATCTTGGGTAGACGGTAGTAGGCCCGAGTGTGATAGATGAGGTTTCTGTTGAAAGAAATTAAATTTTTCAGCTTTTGTCGAGTTCTTCTTGCTTTTGTGTTGCGACATCTTCTGTGTTGAAGTTTGTGATGCGTTCTGTGTGGTAGGATTGCAACGGATTTTCAGCCCGTTTGCCGGAGCTGAGGATTATGAGTCCATCTTGTCCGGCAGTCGGCCACGCCCCCCAAATTACGGTATTGTTTATAGTGACAGGAGAGCCTTGGTGCAGGCCCTGTGTTAATTGGCAAAGCATTTTTCAAACTTACCTAGGTCCACAAGGCAGCAATGCTGCATCCATTATTTTCCTGCAGAAGAAGCCAGATTGCTCTAACAAGCTATGCACAGCTGATACAGGACCATGCTGCTCAGATGAAACTCTCAGCTACTAAGTGCATCCCTGCATTGCTTTCCTTAGCTCAATAGAGGTAAATGAATTCTCCGACACGAGAATCCCAGAAGCAGGGTATGTGACCAAGAGCACTTGGTATGTTCGGTGTAAGTTGCTAAACCTCTCTAAAATTTTTTAAATATATATTATATATATATATATATTAACCCCTTAAGGACACGTGTGACATGTAATGATTCCCTTTTATTCAAGAAGTTTGGTCCTTAAGGGGTTAAATAACACTAGCGCCAAGGAACTTCTGGTACCAAAACTACAGCAGACTATACTGTTTATGGTGCATGGACTGTTACTGTAATCAAAAGAAAATTGTATTCTTTTTAAACCAATCATTGACCCTTAATTATTGCAATTCTACTATTAACCTAGTCTGATTTGATATTAACTTATTTAGGGTTTGACAAATCTGAAATCTAGCAGCCAGCTAAAAAATTTACTAGCCAGGTTTTTTTTTTTTTTTTAAACTAACGAAGTTCAATTTTCCAACTAGATAAGGCAATTCTTAAAGAGACACTATGGTCACCAGAACCACTACAGCTTAATGTAGTTGTTCTTGTGTCTACAGCCTATCCCTGCAGGCTTTGCAAAGTAAACACTGCCTTTTCATAAAAAAAGGCAGTGTTTAAATTGCTGCGTAGTGACACCTCTAGTGACCGTCACTCAGACGGCCACTAGAGAGTCCTGGGTCAGTACTGCACAGAGTGAACCCCCAAGTTCAGCGTCTCCACGCTCTGAATGGAGGCGCTAAATGTTCCCCATAGAGATGCATTGATTCAATGCATCTCTATGAGGAGATGCTGATTGGCACAATCCTATGGAAAAGGATTGACTTAGCGGAGATCATAAAGAATGATGATCTCAGCCATGGAGACTGGACCAGACGCGGTGAAACTAGCACGGTGTGGGAAAAAAATGTGAGTAAAAACCACCTCTCTAATGTAATCGGAGGGGGACAGGTACCTAAACAGACAGACTCAATGATGGAGACACACACACATTTTCTCACACATGCACAATTGACATTTTTTTTAGTTTGAGTCCACCCATCCTCCTTTGGGTGAGCTGGACTGGATGCTTCACCTGGGGTCCAGTGGGGCTGCTATCTAATCTTCCTGTAGTTCCTCTCTGCTCCCCTGCGCAGTCTCTGCTGTGATGTCATATTTCGGCTCCCGGCATCACTAAACAGTGCACGAAGGAGCAGAGAGGAACTGCAGGAAGATTACTGCTCCCTCACTCGCCACCTACAATGCTCCCGCAGGCGTCCTGTTCCCATGCTCCCGTAGGAGGTCGACCGACTCCCATGGTACCGTGGGCGGCCGGCCGGCTTTAATGCTCCCGCGGCTGTCACGGCGACCCGACGCCTGAGATTTGTCGAGCCTTGGTCTAATTGCGTCATTAAATAACTGCATTATTGCTACTATAAGTAAAGTGCACTGAGGAAGTAGGTGTTTTAAAGGAACACTAAAATGTTAGGAATACAAACCTGTATTCTCAACATTTTAGTGTACCTGTCCTTATTTATAGATTAGATAGAGCTTACACCAACACTGTCACCCCATATTAAAAATAAGTATGTGATAATGATAGAATCTTTTTGGAAATACTCATTATGACTGTGTTGGACTTTTCTTGAAAATTCCAACCAAGTCAAGATATATACAGAGACAAAGTAGGGAGTATTTTGTCTCTGTATTTCTCCCCACCCTGACACTTCCAGAGACAAGGAAGGGCTTATGAGTCAAGTCCTGTAGCTGTCATCAGTGATGGCTGCAGGGAATTGGCTGTGTCCATGAAGGATCCTGTAGTCTTGCGGGATCCACCGTAGATCTCACTGCTGTACTCTCGCACATGATGTCGGCTGTCAAGAGGAGCAGCGCAACGCAACCAAGATGGTTGGCACCCGCAAAGCACAGGTTTGGGTAAGTAATCTCATCCTTACCTGCCCCCAGACCGCCAGTGGTTATGTCACCGTCCGTTACAGATGGTAATGTTTTACCTTAAATGGTTAAAATAAGACCACTGCACCCAGGCCACAGATGAGTGGTCCATTGTCTTTAGTATTTTCCAAAGATATTTACATGCTAAGTTTTAACACTTCACATATATTTGTTCATTTAGAATATTAAGTCAACAGATTTAGGCATTTCTGAATAACATGTTAATGCCTAAGTATCTTAAGCTCTTAATATTTTTTTGTGTTTTGTATTAAAAACTTCATAAAATTGTTAATTTTAATGTATTTTTAAACAAACGGTTATAATGAAAAATAGATTGCATATAGTTATTATAAGCATTGTGTATGCAAGACAGAATTTTACACAAAATGTTCAAATATCAGATTTGCCTAGTAAACTTGTAGAGTAAAAATTTTAACATAACCCCTTAAGGACACATGACGTGTGACATGTCATGATTCCCTTTTATTCCAGAAGTTTGGTCCTTAAGGGGTTAAATACGAATATTTCATTTTTCTATGGATTAGACTGAATAATATAACAAAAGCTCTATTATCCTGGTGTGTGCAGTGCACTGAAAACACATTAATGTAATGGTATCAGATATGCCCTACTACTCCATGAATTGCCACATGCCTTTTAACCTTGATAGTATTTTCTGTTTTGCTGATGCCAGAGTATAGGGTACAAAGGTGAGCAGAGAGTCAGTTCAGCAAAATGAACCAGGAGTGGGTGAGAGGTGAAACAACAAGCTGAACACTTGTAGGTTTATATGAGCAAGAGGTAAAAGGTTGCTTTACTCCAGTAGCAGAACAAGAGCCCTAGAGCAGAATTAGTTTCTAAAATAAATTTAAGGCCATGATTACATATATGCCCCCTACCTCCTTCCACCAAAAATAACATACTTCCCATACAAAAAAACTGTTCAAACAGGCACAATGTAGCATTGCCCAAATTAAAACATAAAACCCAGAAGAATACAGAACAGCCCATACTGCAAGTTTATACAACAAATAATAAATAGAATGAACAGTACAGTCAAATAGTGTGAAGCCACGTGATGTTATATACAGTAAGTGTCCTCCAACAGGGGCCAACTTCCTCTCACCATGAGTGCTGAGTAAAAGTGCCACAAACACACACCCCACACCATCCAATCAGCTCTCAGCTGACACTCTCTCTAATCATTGGAGTCTAATAAACCCCCTAGGCAGTCAGGCAGAGCAGAGACACACAAACAAAAATAAGTGTCTATATATGTCAAGAAGTGTTGTCAATGGATCAAGTTAAACAGTGACATTACACTGGAGGGAATAGGAAAACATTCTGCTAACATACAGTGTGTGTCTATAATATATATATACCATGCCAGTTGTGCCCCTGCCCATGTTATTCCCCATGCCAGCTGTGCCCCTGTCCATGTTATCACCCATCCTTCCTGTGCCCCTGCCCATGTTATTCCCTATGCCAGGTGTCCCCTCTGCCCATGTTATTACCCATGCCAGCTGTGTCCCCTGCCCATGTTATTACCCATGCCAGCTGTGTCCCCTGCCCATGTTATTACCCCTGCCAGCTGAGTGCTGGAATTTAGGTAGTTCCTGGTACATGTCACTCAGTGCAGGGATGGAGGAATGGACCCGGTGTAGTGTATGGCCACTTACCTGCCAGGATAGCTTTGCCAGGGTGGGTGAGCTTGGCACCGCCTGCGGGGGCAGCGGCGGACAGGGAGCGGAGCCCGGGGTGGACAGAGAGTTGGTTGCCGTGCAGTGGAGGGCAGGAGGGGCCCGGCATGGAGCACATGGCTGCTGCGGCGGTGATGGCGGAGGGGCAGCCGCTGGGATGGTGTGCGCGGTCGGGGGCCTCCTGTGCTCGGTGCTGGCACTCCTCTGACTCCAGCCGCCGCCGTGTCCGGGATCCGGGGAGGGGGAGGCGGTGCCGGGGCTGTGTGTCTGCCGCCCTCTCTCCCTCCTCCGGCCGCGCCTCGCACACACAGCCCAGGCTGCACCGCCTGCAGAGGGAGGGGCCGCCCAGACACAAACATGCACCTACTGGGGGGCTCACAGGGGGCACTACCCAGCCATCACCCTGGGTGCATCCAGTGAACATACACCTTGTTTATTACAAAAACTTTATATCCTGGGTACAATAGGCATGAGGAAAACAAAGGACCTGAAAACACAAACAAGGTTATTCCATATTCACTAAAGTGGGAATAGTCAGGACATTAAAGGCAATGTCAAATTTTAGTAGATACCCCTTTAGATTAAGAGGCTGTCTCAAAAAATGTGAAAAGGAATAGGAATATGAGGCGACAGTTAACAAGAAAAAAAAAAATATATATCATCTAGGCTTCATAAAGTCGTATTCCCCAAATTGTATGAAGAAATAATCTTTCTGACTTTTACCAATATTGTAAATAACTTTGTGTTATAACTCACTTATGCCGTCCAGTCTCTTTCTGAAGTCATAAGTGTAATTGAATAATATGGAGAAATTATAGTCTTCCAGATAAACTGAACTTAAAGAGACACTATAGTCACCAAAACAACTTTAGCTTAATGAAGCAGTCTTGGTGTATAAATCATGCCTCTGCTGTCTCATTGCTCAATTCTCTGCCATTTAGGAGTTATATTGCATTGTTTATGCAGCCCTCGTCACACCTCCCTGCAAGTATTCTGTTTTATTTAGAATTTCTTATCTCATGCATTGTGAATAGTTTGCTAGACCTTGCAGGAGTCTTCTGTATGTGATTAAAATTAAATTTACAGAGCAGAAGATAACATCTTCTAAATTAAGTTAAAGGATCACTATAGTGTCAGGAAAACAAAGCAGTTTTCCTGACACTATAGTGCCCTAGGGGTGCCCCCACCCTCAAGGTCCCCCTCCCTTGGCGCTAAAGGGGTTAAAACCCCTTCAGCTACTTACCTTAATCCAGCGCCGGTTTCCTCTGCGCTGGTGAACTCTACTCCCCTGCCGAAGTCAGCTCCCGAGTGGCAAGTGACGCACACACATTCAAACAGTCCATAGGAAAGTATTTCTCAATGCTTTCCTATGGACGTTCTGCACGCTGGATGCGAATTTCACATCCAGCGTCGCATATGCGCCTCTCTGCTATTTTGGCAAAATCGCCTCTGGTGCCCTTGGCAAAAAAAAAAAATTGTCGCTCCATTTGCTCCACCCACTCATGCAGACTGACATACACTGAACAAGCAGACTGACACACACACACACACACACACACCCATGCAGACTAACCCACACACACTGACGAATGCAGATTCACACAAACACTGATGAATGCAGACTGACGCGCGCACACACAGACACACTGACTCATACAACAAACACACACAGACTCACACATTAAGACATACACAGACCCACACTGGAGACAGACACTGACCCACACACTGACCCATACAGACAAACACTGACCCATACAGAAAAACACCCATACAGACTGACATGCACAAACACAAATTCTTCACCTTGTGTTCCTGGCAGCTTCCCTGCATCTGGCCACCTTCAGTCCGTCTCAGCCCTGCTATGCTCCCGCACACTTGTCCCCACGTACAGGGCAAGGGGCGGGAGCATAGGCGTGCGCAGCCTATTGCATTAGGGTGTGCACCCTAAAGCACAAGCACACGCCGCATATATATATATACACATATATTATTATTATTATTATTGCCATTTATATAGCGCCAACAGATTCCGTAGCGCTTTACAATATTATACACATATATACACACATACACACACTGCTGTGTGTGAGGGTGCTGTTAGTGTGCTATGTGGGTGAGGGTGTTTGAGTGTGCGCGCTTGTGAGGGTGCTGTTAATGTACTGTGTGTGAGGGTGCTGTTTGTGTGTGTGTATGCGCTTGTGAGGGTGCTGTTTGTGTGCTGTGTGTGAGGGTGCTGTATGTGTGTGTGAGGGTGCTGTGTATGTGTGTGGGTGCTGTATGTGTGTGCGTGCTGTATGTGTGTGCGTGCTGTATGTGTGTGCGTGCTGTATGTCTATGGGTGCTGTGTATGTGTGTAGGTGCTGTGTATGTTTATGGGTGCTGTATGTGTGTGGGTGCTGTATGTGTGTAGGTGCTGTGTATGTCTGTGGGTGCTGTATGTGTGTTGGTGCTGTGTATATCTGTGGGTGCTGTATGTGTGTTGGTGCTGTGTATGTCTGTGGATGCTGTATGTGTGTTGGTGCTGTGTATGTGTGTAGGTGCTGTGTATGTATGTGGGTGGGTGCTGTATGTGTGTGGTGCTGTGTATGTCTGTGGTGCTGTGTGTATGTGTGTGGGTGCTGTATGTGTGTTGGTGCTGTGTGTGTGCTGTGTGTATGTTTGTGGGTGCTGTATGTCTGTGGGTGCTGTATGTGTGTTGGTGCTGTGTATGTCTGTGGGTGCTGTATGTGTGTTGATGCTGTGTATGTGTGTTGGTGCTGTGTATGTCTGTTGGTGCTGTGTATGCCTGTGGGTGCTGTATGTGTGTTGGTGCTGTGTATGTCTGTGGGTGCTGTATGTGTGTTGGTGCTGTGTATGTCTGTGGGTGCTGTATGTGTGTTGGTGCTTTGTATGTCTGTTGGTGGTGTTTGTGTGTGTGGGAGTGCTGTATGTGTGTAGGTGCTGTGTGTCTGTGGGTGCTGTGCATGTCTGTGTGTGCTGTATGTGAGGGTGTGTGTGCTGTATGTGTGTGCTGTATGTCTGTGGGTGCTGTATGTGTGTGTGCTGTATGTGTGTGGGTGCTGTGTATGTCTGTGTGTGCTGTATGTGTGTGCTGTATGTGTGTGGGTGATTGTGGGGGTACATTACTTGATATCCCCCCTCCCTTCTTACCTTATGCCTGGGAGGGGGGATCCTTGTTCCTGCTGCTTCCATCCCTGGTGGTCTAGTGGAGAGTGAACTCTAGCCCCTGTGGGGCTAGAGTTCACTCTCACAAGATTTGAGCATTGCCGTGGCAATGCTCATATCTCGCGAGAGGAACCCGGCGGAGCTACTGGCAAGAGCTCCGCCAGTCCTCTCCTGCCTCCCTCCCTGCATGTGGGTCGGTGGGGAGGGAGGGTAGCGCCGGCTCGGCATGAGCCGACAGGGGAGATCCTGAGATCTCCCCTGACGGTCTCAATATACGTAGGCGTGCCGCGGGGATAAGGGTGTGCCCAGGCACACCCGGTACACCCTGTGCGCACGCCTATGGGCGGGAGTGAGAAATTGAAGCGCCCTCACGCTCTTGCAGCCATGGCAGTCTTTGTGGGGGGCCTGGCTGAGCAGGCTGAAGTGCTTCCATTTATAAAAACAAAAATAATATAAAATTAAAAAAGAATCTTGAAAATACTATTAAATTACATGCAAAATGGAGAAAAAAACAAGCTGAGCAGCGATAATATAGGCTTATACAGAAAGCAGTTTTCTCTTCACACATGTGCAGACATTCTCTGTGTCTAACGATTCTATTGCACATGTTCTCTTCCATAGAAGACAAGAATGCTGAGCATTGTGGGAGAATATAAACCATGTGCCTCGGTCACAGTTGGCACCTAGAGGAAGCATATGGGAGTGAGCAGTAAGCCTGCAAACAATGGTTTTGCCTTGCTTGAAACCATGAAGCAAACATACAAACGTCTGCTTATTCCTGTTCAATAAAAAAAACCTTTACATTTTGCTTTTGAAGACCACAAGGCCATAATAATGAATCCAAAAAATATTTTATATTGTATGCTTATAATGAATGTGTCAAGAGACACAAATTGTGTTGAGCACCTGCTATTTGAAAAGCATTATAGCCTATCTCAAGTGTAGGCAGTCTTTTAGTAGTGCTGTGACACTTTGTAATACTTTGAAGCCTCTATGAATACTGGCCCTATTTTTTTTTTAATTAGCTTGTGTTACATTTGGGTGCAGAAGCTCTTTTGTGGGGTGTATTTAGGATTTGTGCTGCCCTAGGCAGGATGGTGCTCGGGCACTCCCCCTCCCCCATATTTACATTTTCCCCACCCCTTCCTGTCAAAGCCGCACTTTGACTGACAGGTGCTCACTCACTGACAGACGCACACACTCACTGATAGATGCATACACTCATTGACACTGACAAACAATGACACACACACACTCACTGATTTGACACACTGAAAGAAAGACACACACTCACACTCGCTGACAGACGCACGCACTGACAGACACACTCACTGACCGACACATACACACACACATTCACTTAGACATACACACTTACAGACACACACACACACATTCACTTAGACACACATACTTACAGAAACACACACACACATTTCCACCAACACTCACAAATTATTATTTTTTAAATTTTATTTTAAATCCACCCAGCCTCCCTGGGAGAGCTGGAGTGGATTGCTTACCTGCAGTCCAGTGGGGCTGCTGATCGGGCAGGCAAGGGGCGGACAGGCTGAGTAGGCGGCGAGGGAGCTTTAATCTCCCTGCTCAGCTCCTTCGCGCGTTGCTTAGTGATGGTGGGAGCCGGTCTGACGTCATATTCCGGCTTCCGGCTTCATTAAAGGACCACTATAGGCACCCAGACCACTTCAGCTTAATGAAATGGTCTGGGTGCCAGGTCCATCTAGGACTAACCCTTTCTGCTGTAAACATAGCAGTTTCAGAGAAACTGCTATGTTTACAAATGGGTTAATCCAGCCTCTAGTGGCTGTCTCATTGACAGCCGCTAGAGGTGCTTCTCACTGTGATTTTCACAGTGAGAAGACGCCAGCGTCCATAGGAAAGCATTGAGAATGCTTTCCTATGGACTGGTTGAATGCGCGCGCAGCTCCTGCTGCGCATGCGCATGCAGCCGATGACGTGGAAAGGAGGAGGAGAGTCCCCAGCGCCGAGGGAGCCAGGCGCTGGAAAAAAAGGTAAGGGATTAACCCCTTCCTCACCCTAGAGCCTGGCAGGAGGGGGGCCCAGAGGGTGAGGGGGACCCAAGGACCCTATAGAACCAGGAAAACAAGTATGTTTTCCTAGCACTATAGTGGTCCTTTAAGCGGCGCAGA